GGCTTGAACTCGTGGCGGATTCTCCTCTGTTGAGATGACAGGATGTGTCACCATCCCTGGCCTATGTGTGTAAGTTATATGCAAATACTATACCATTTCAAGGGGCTCGAGCATCCCAGGGTTTTGGTATCCTTGGGGGAGCCTGGAACCAATCCTACAGATGCCAAGGGAGGACGGCACACAGAACTGTTTGCTCTGTTTGCAAAGAAACTGCACATGGGAGTGGCTGAGCAGCGAAGGGCGGTGCCCCTAGCAGTTACTTACCAGGGCTTTAACAGGAGGCAGGAGCAGTGTATCCAGTTCTCACTCTGTGTGGTGGCAGGTGACCCCCAAGAGGTGTCAGGAGCCCCTCGGGTTGGGCATCAGGAACGGAGCTTCCTTTTCAAGGCATCTGGGAGGCTGACTGGACTGAAACCCCACAATTCCAATTTTCCCAGGGGTTCCTCTCCAGCGGCTGGGGGTTGGCTCCTCTCAGCAGAGGGCAGGGGAGGGGCACCCCCTGCAGTCTAAATAGCATTATTTTACTACCTCTTTGCCAGGAGATGAAAGAAACAGGCCACCTGGGAGATTAATCATTAGCCTTGGGCTGCCAGGAGACCGGGAAAGTCTCAGTGAGGAAACCTGGAGCCTGTGGTCCACTGAGAGAAGAATGCGAGTTGGTAGGAGGTGGGAGGGCCTGTTATCTTTCTGGAGTAATCTCCAGGGCACTGCCAGGGCCTCTGGCCTACATTTCTTTTCCCAGTTGATACTTAAAATTAATATTATCTCAACTCTTGGATTTGTACTTTTCCTCTCCCCATTTGAGAAAATACAGCCAGATGTGATGGTGCACGCCTATAATCCCAGCACTCAGCACTTGAAGCTGAGGCAGGAGGATCATTTGGAGTTGAGGTCAGCGTGGGATACATAGTGATTTCAAAGCTGGCCTGATCTGCATAGCAAGACCCTATCTAAAAAAAAAAAAAAAAAAAAAAAAAAAAAAAGAGAGAGAGAGAGAGACTAAGGAAAGTTACCACTTTCTTTTCATTTTTTTTTTTTTCCTTTGGTACTGGGAATCAAACTTAGACCCTTGCACTTTCAAGACAGGTGGCAGAACCACTGAGCAAAATCCCCGGCCCTTTACCACTGTCATTGACAGTGAGTTGCTTACAACTCAAGGGCGTTCATGGGCCACATAGAAACGTTCCCTTGGACACCCACCCGGTTAAGGCTCTGTCCCTAGATAGAGTTTACTAGCTCCAAGGCTTTCCTTCCTTTGAAAGAAGCAAAGGTCAGTGAGTTAAACTGACTAGCCAGTGGGGAAGTTTTTCCCAACACCAGAGACAGCCTAGCAGGCTTTTCCGGAGGGAGTAGGGGAAAGGAGAGCCAGGGATTTGTTGTAATTTAGGGTTCTGCCTAGAAGTAGGAAGGGAACGTATTGGGCAGAGTGCTCATAACTGACTTTTGTGAGGGAGTCATGGTGCCACTGAGCTAAATCCCTAGCCTCATAACTGACTTTTGAAGGACACTTACAAGAACTTTTTGCTGGGCGTGGTGGTGCACACCTGTAATCCCAGAACTTGGGAAGCTGAGGCGGGAGGATCGCAGTGAGTTTGAGACCACCCTGGGCAACATAGTGAGTTCCAGGTCAGTCTCACTACATAGTGAGACCCTGTCTCAAAAAACCAAATAAACAAACAAAATAAATAAATAAAAATAATAAAAGAACTTTGTGAATTCAGTGCTATTGACATTTCTTGTTTTTGTTTTTGATCCAAAAATTTTTCTTGGTACTGGGGCTTGAACTGCAGTGGAACCACTGAGCTAAATCCCCAGCCCCCTTTTTGTTTTTGAAATAGGCTCTAAGTAGTTCAGGCTGGTTCTGAACTCCTGATCTCCCTAATGCTGGATTGCAGGCTAACATTTCCTTTTTTTTTTTTTTTGTACTAGGGACTGAACCCTGGGCCTTTGAACTGAGGTACTGAGCTACATCTGCAGCACTTTTTAAGACAGGCACGGTCTGGCTAAATCACTACATTGTCCAGGCTGGGGTCCAGTCTCCCTGAGTGCTGGGATTATAGGAGTGAGCCACCAAGTCCAGTTTCAACAGCTCCATTTTATGGATGAAGAAATGGAACTGAGGGAGCCGAAGTGACTTAGGCTTCAGCAGGGATGGAAGCTGAACGCTGTGCCAGCTGGAGCACAGGCTCCGGACTGGTTCAGTCAATCCCCACACTGAGGTATCCTGTCTGACTGAAGAGGGGGCACGGTGCCCTTCCTTCCCCTTTACCAGAGCCCCTTTGTGCTTCTCCCTCAGCATTGACAGTGAGCCCTGGGCAGGCCGACCCTTCCTGACCTTCCCTGAAGCTTGGAGAAGGACTTGCTGAGAAGTCTGAAGAGCCATCAGGCCTGACCTGCCCTTTTGGCCCCTAATTGTTTTCTAAAATACTTTTTATTGAATTAACAGAGCATAATGGAACAGTCAGTGAGAGTTGCTGCAGAGTTCCAAGGCCAGGGCTTGCTGGGTAGAAGAAAGCAAAGCCCCAGAGGCTCCCTGGGCCCACTGGTGGTATAAAATATGTATTTTTTACATAACTGGGAGAAAAAAAATAAACGGACAAGGCCACCCCATGGGAGAAATGCCTTTCTCTATTTCCATTATCTTTTTTAATGCACAGTCAGGCAGGAGCCCCAGTAGAAAAGGAAATACCGAAGCCTTTTCCCTCTGAGCCTCCTGGTGGGCTAAGAGGTAGAGGGAGCCAACATGCAGAAATCCAAAAGGCTGGGTGTGTGCTGGAAAACCCATTAAAAGGAGGGGTCAGCGTGGGGGGAGGGGCCGGCGGGGGACTGTCTGGGTTTCGACACCTCTCCAGTGCAGATAAGAAAGGCTCTCTGTGGCTCAGACTCACCTTTAGCTCTGGGCGAAATACTCCAAACACGCCTGTCCCCACAAGGGAGGGAAGAGGGCGGATCTTTCAAAAGAACAACCTTCAGCCTTGACACACAGTTGACACTGCATACCAAGTACTCTGCTTAGTGTCTATTTTTTGCATTCGCCAGTATCAACTCACTTATATAAGCAAGAACACAATACTGTTTGGGCTGGGTGTGTTGCCGCACGCATGTAATCTCAGTACTCCGGAGGCTGAGGCAGGAGAATCACCATGAGTTTGAGACCAGCCTAGGCTAACATAGTGAGTTTAAGGCCAGTCTGAACTACATAGTGAGACCCTGTCTCAAACAAACAAATAAACAAACAAACAAACAAAAAAATCTGTTTTGTAGTTCCGACCATACTTGGATGACACAGGGAAAGGAGGTATCCTTGTCAACATAACCAAACCATGCAGATGTGGTTGGTCACAGACAGGGACACTATCTGACCTAACTTTGCCTGTCTACTGTTTTTGATTCTAAAATTATTGTACCGGCACAGAATTCTTCTTAGAAGGTGGTAGACACTGGTGTGGCTGTGGTATTCAGAGCCCCAATCTAGGGATCAAGCGATCTCAGAGTCTAAACTGGGCTTTGACACTGACTTGTTATGCGACACTGAATGTGTTACCTACCAATAACAGTTTCGAGCAATCTCTAAAAGGTCTTTTCCACGACAACAATAAAAAAAAATGGATTGAGGGGCTCAGTACGTAGCTCCGTGGTAGAGCACTTGCTTACCATGCACAAGGTCCTGGGTTTGATTCCTGGTGTGGCAAAAAATAAAATGAAAAGGTTGAGGGCTGGGGATTTAGCTCAGTGGCATTGCGCCTGCCTCACAAGTGCAAGGTCCTGAGTTCGATCCCTGATACCCCAAAAATTAAAAAAGTGTGAATTAAAGAGTCGGGGATGTAGCTCAGAGGTGCTGGGGGTGCAGCTCAGGGATAGAGTATCTGCAGTGATAAGAGTGTACTTGGGTACAAGTGGGACTCTCAGGGTTCAGTTCCCAATTTCCAGTACTACAATAACAAAAACAATCCACAGCTCCTGCTGGGAGGGTCGGAGCCACCAGAAGTGAAACAGAGTTAAAGAAAGGGCCTTGGCATCGGAAGGAGGTGGGGTCCATCCTGCATCACTTTCTGCTGCTTCTCAACCTCTTTTCCAATGGGACGGTAACACAGCTCTTGTGTTGTTTTGAGATGAGATTAGAGGAGACGGTCAATGTCAAATGCCTGACACAGAGCCTGGCACAGTAACCTTCAACGCCCAACATCTGCCCTTACTGTTACTGACCCTCACAGTAATACAGAGCTTTTATGGCTCGAGAAACATTGCTCTTATCAAGTATATGGGCTCCTTTACAACAACAGAGAAAGAGGGAAGAAGAGAGGAGAGCAGAGGGAGGGAGGAGGAAGGAGGGAGACAGGGAGATGGAAGCGGGGAGAGACTAAAGTCCTTTCTGACCTCAGATCTCAGTGGTCCACCGGCGGGGCTGGGATTCGAACTTGGTGGCACAGGAATCTTGCAGGTCCCCTACGGTCCTCTTACTCTTACCGACCTGTGGGTCCCAGGGTCTGGCACGAGGCCAGGGGCGGAGCTATGGTTGGGCTGTCTGTCCGCTCTTGGACGGTGGAGGAAGCTAAGGGCCGCGAGGCGCCTCTCATTGGCTGTGGCCCGCAGGTGCGTCTTCAGCCAATCAGCGACGTCGGGGGTGGTGCCTTCGAGGCTCACCTGGCTGCTGCTATGCTAAGTAGCTCAGTGGCTTGGGGAACCCCAGAGCACCTGCGAGTTCGCGGAAGTCGGTCCCAACTCGGCCTAGCCCGGCCCGTACGCGCTCGGCCCCCGCCTTCGATCGGCTTCTGCCCGGCGCGCCATGGGCCCTTCGTGCTGCAGCCTCTCCGCGCTCCTGCTACTGCTGCAGGTATGTGGGGTGCCTCTATTTGGGGGAGTACCCGCCGGCCCCGCGATCCGCGCCCTGGCCCGGCACCCCTTCCTCTATCCTGCTGTTCCTGCTTCCCTTCTCTTAAGAAAGTTGAGGTCCCAGGGGCCAGAACGTCCTGACCGGTGCGCGGCGCTCTGGGCTGCGCCGAGACGCGAGTGGGATGGGGGAGCGCGTCCCCGCCAGCAAATACCCCGGGTGGGGGGCGGTCTTGCTGCAGGCTCGGGAGCTCTGTGTTTGCCTCTGTGTGGGCTTGGGTACAAGTAGAGATAGAGAGCCAAGAGTAGTGGGGACGATCGCAGAGGTAAGCAAAGGAGCGCTGGTATAGAAATAAAGTCACCTACCAGGTTAAAAAGGGGTGGGGGGGTGGCAAGTAGGAATGGGAGCGCTCTGGGGTAGAAAGAGGGGTGGAAGGGATCGAAGCGCCCCTAGGTATGAGGAAGTAGGATCGAGCGTTCCGGGTCTAGAAAGGTGAGAAAGTGGTGTCAGAGAAAGAAGTCTCCCGTAAAATTAAAGGAGACAGGAAGGAAAGATGGGCCAGCAACCCCCTGTCCCGGGGGGTCGTGGGGGGATTGGAGGCAGGTTTCGGGGAGGGAGTGGATGACGTCGCTGCCTGCCCGGAGCGGGAGTTCTCCCCCAATCCCGACGCCCGGAGCGAGGGAGAGGTGGCGCTTTTGGTTTCGGTGTGCGTTGGAGGAACACCCGCCCCCCCGCGAAAGTCACCCCTGTTTCGTACCTTTCCCCCACTCCAGGTTTCGTCGTGGCTCTGCCAGGAGCTGGAAGACCCCTGTCAGCCCGGCTTCGACGCCGAGAGCTACACATTCACGGTCCCTTGTCGGCACCTAGAGAGAGGCCGCGTCCTAGGCCGAGGTGAGGGGTCGCCGCTGGTATCGCCCGGCAGGGTAGGGAAGGGGCCCAGAAATTGTGCACCCGCACCCCTGGGTTGGAATGAGCACCTGCATCCCCCCACCTCGGCCGAACTACACTCCTTGTAATTTACGCATATTTAAGACAAGGGTCTGAGAGTTTACCACTGAGCACGGTGGTGGAGCCAGCTAGAGTTGGCTGTGTTATAGAAGTGGAGAAGGTGGGGGTGGCTGGCGGGTGCGCGCAGGTTCGGGGTGCGTAGAGGCCATCAGTACTGTATTTCTCATCATGCTGATTGTGGAGACAATATAAATTCAGACTGCAAAAAACTGCTGGGTGACACTGGGACAGGAGCGCTCCCTTTTTACAGAGGAGCAGAGTGAGGCTCAGAGGGTGACTCCACTTGCCCAGGGTCAGCAGAGGGAGCAGGCGCCTGAAGGGATCTGACTCCCAGGCCCATTGTGCACCTGCTGGGAGGATGACTGGGGAGAGGCTCCTGGTTACCAGGGCTGTGGCTTTTGTCCATAGAGGTGAAAACATTTTGGTACAGGTACTGTTTCCTCAGTGAATGATGATTAAAAAAAAAAAAGCTCAGCAGCTCTAACCAGGGGGTTGAAAATACACACACCTGGTGGATTTCAGGCTTTATCAGTGTGATAATCTAGTTTTCTTTGTTCGACTTCAGTATTACCCAGGGTGGGGAGCGAGGGAAGGGGCTGGTTTCCTTTCTGATTCCACTAATTCCCAGGTGCTTATTTTGTATCAGACCACTTTCCCCTCCCTCATGATTTTAGTTGATTGGACGAGTATCATTAACAATAAAAGAAGTACTTTTTAAAAAGAGAAATCATGATTCCCCCGAGGGAGTTCTCCCACTATGCTTATTCTTCTAGTCTTTGGCCACATGAAAAATGCAGCAACCACACTGTTGTCTTACATTTTGTTTTGAATTTTGGAAGTTGTGCCAACAGCGGGCAGTGTGTTTTATAGAGAAACTGCAGTCTGTTTTTTTTTTTGTACGAGGGATCGAACTTGGGACCTTGGGCTTGCTAGGCAGGTGGCAAGGGAAACTGCACTCTGACAATTAACTGTGTTTGCTTTTCTGAGACCCAGCTGTGTTCTGTGGAGCACTCTGTGGGATCAATGTGAACCACTTGATGTTGGAGTGATTACTCACCCAGTCTCTACTTGGTGTCCGCCTTGACTGTCCAAGGAATAACTAAGATGTCGGGACAGATAAGGGCATTCCAGCCCTGCCCTCCAGAATTGCAAGTTCTAACAGGTTGCTGTGTTCCAAAACCTCTTCAGAAGGCACCATGGGACAAGGGCAGTGATGTGTGAAAGGGTGGAATGTTTTAAAAGGGGGTCAATGGGCAGCAAGGCCTGGCTTCTGGAAGGCAAACTTGAAGAGTAGGGCAGAGGTTAGAAATGGGAGACCAGGGATTTAGCTCAGTGGTTCTGCCACCTCCCTTGTAAGTGCAAGGTCCTGAGTTCGATCCCCAGTACTAAAAAAAGAGAGAGAATGTGTACCGGGTATGGTGGCGCATGTCTGTGATCCCAGCACTTGGAGGCTGAGGCAGGAGGATTGCTTCAAGTTCGAGGCCATCCTGAGCTACATAATGAGTTCAAGACCAGTTTAGACTCCACAGCAAGACCCTCTCTCTCTCAAAAAAAAAAAAAAAAAAAAAAAAAATAAATATAAGTGTCCTAACAAAAGGG